TTGTATCAGACCTTCAAATAACAATAAAAATGTAAGAACTAAGCACCAATTTGAAAGATAATCACCTGATTCGAAATCCTCACAGGGTCGATTTTAAGAACTAAATAGGGTAATTATGAAGTCGATGATGGTGGTGAGAAGTTAGGTGCGTAAGTCTTTCCGCCGATTTCTCACACATGCTCGCAGATTGTTGGAACATAAGGCGTTGTCAAGATGAAAGCTCTCAAGAGTGAAGCCGCAGGGTAGAACACCGCCGCTGCACCCTCCGACGATTAGCACCGCCGCTGTTGAGCGCCACCAGTTGTGCAGTTAGCGTTGTGGTTCTGTGATTGACGAACGGAGAGCTTGAATTGAACACTGTGGAAATACCCAGAAACAAATGCGGTGGAGAAAGTCGGTGATTCTGAAGGGTTTTAGCCCAAGCTGAACACCTGAAGCCGACTTTATGAGAAAAAGGGGTTAGCATAGTTGGTCGGTGGTTAAGCGGTGGTAGCGACCATCGAAGCAGCAAAGAGATGCAAAGGAAGTTTCCAGTCGCTGGAGAGATGAGGTGTTGGATGAAGATCTATCTAGATGAAAACGTAAAAGCCGATGGAGATCCAGGATGAAGCAGTGATTCTTGAAAGAAGTGACGACGGGGTGGGGCGATCGTCTGCCTCGTCTCCGCTGGTGGGACGTCGACCCCGGATTGTTGATGATCGGTTGGGTACGAAAGAGAGTCGATTTGGGCGACCGGTGGTGGAAGGTAGATCGATTTATGGATGGTTGACGACAGAAGTGCAGGGTTTGAACTTGGAAGAAAGTAACGATTCATACAACAATTAAGCATGAATTGTTGATGATCAACGACAATTAAGCCTAGATCATTGGAGGATTTTGGATTCCATGTCGATTGATGATAACGACTACGAAATATGGATCGATTGTGGATCCATATCTGAAGGCGAGAAAGTGACGACTCTGGATTGAACGGACGGTGTTGCTGTTTCCGAACATCGAGTCGTCCTCTGGCTCAGAGACCGGAAGCTTAGAGGCGAAGGAGAATCGGGAGGTTCGGAGCGATCGGACCTCTGGCTGATTTATTAGGGCACGAAACTTCGAGAGGGAAGAATGACACAACCACCGCGATGTTAAATCCATCAATCATCGGAGAATCTTCAATGAAGGCGGTGGTTTTTGACAGATGTAGGGTGGTTGTTAGAGGGAGGAGGGAGGGGTCGACAAAGAGGGAGGAGGTCGATGGAGTCGGTGAAGAATCGGAGAAGGGAACGAGCGATAGAAAGACTAATCACGATCTGATATGTT